AAAAGATCTGATGAAGATGAATTGATCACTAGGTTATATCTCAAATGATATGCCTGAAAAAGTACTCGAACTATTTGATGAAATGTCAATAGCACCCGATGAAGTAATTATCACAATATTATTCAATGCCTGCGCCAAACTTGCAAATACGCATGCAATGAAACTTGGAAAAGACGTGCTGAATCGATTACCAGTTGCTTTTTTTCAACGTTGTCAATTAGTGAATTCAGCCATAGACATGTTGATGAAGTTTGGTGATGTAGCACATGCGGAACATCTCTTCCAATTAACCAAGAAGAAAACCATTGTAACCTATGGAGCAATGATGCAAGGTAATTGAGAGTGATCCGATTAGCTTTTATGATAAATATTAATCTTCAACTCTAGGTTATGTCATGAATGATATGTCCGAGAAAGCATTAAATTTATTCGAAGAAGTTTCTTCCAAATCGGACAAAGTCCTGTATGTAATTGTGTTTGGTGCATGTGCTTCATTATCTAATGAAAGAGCCATTCAATTGGGAAAGAAACTTCTTCATCAAATACCAACGATGTTTCTCGACGATATTGTCGTAGTCAACTCAGCAATACATATGTTGATGAAGTTTGGCGAAGTAGAAGATGCTGAGTGTCTCTTCTCAGGTATGAAGAAACGGGATAGATACAGTTATGGAATAATGATGAATGGCTACAACCTTAATGATGAATCAGAGAAATGTTTGAAACTCTTCCAACAAACCAAGCGACAGAACATTACACTCAACGAACCCTTATCTATGTCATTGGTTGGTGCATGTTCTCAGATTGGTATGCGTTCGATCTGTCGAAATATTGTTGATCACATTCCTCTTCATTTACGAAACAAGCTTCAGTTGAAGACTTCCTTGATTGATATGTGGGTGAGTGTTTCCTACTTAGGTGATTTCAATGAGTTATAATGTATGTCTTATTCAACAGGGCAAAGCAGGTGCTATTGATGAAGCCAAACAGATATTTCAATCGATCTCTCAGCCTGATGTTGTCGCCTACACTTCTATGAGTGATTATCTGATGATTATTCCAATTTCATTTTGTTTTGTTTCATTATATTGATTTCTTTTTAGTCAATGCATATGGGCGGAATGGAATGGGTTCTGAAGCGATTGATTTATATCGCCAAATGCCACAGAACATTCGTAATACAGTGTCACATATTTGTGTTTTGAATGCATGTTCTCATTCGGGTCTTCTTGATCAAGCTCGAACCATCTTCAAAGAAATCGGCACAAAAACAGAATACATCATCGCTACAATGGTTCGTTCATTGACTATCAATACTATATAATGTATTTGATGGAAATGATGATTTTTCAATGATTTAGATCGATTGTCTCAGTCGTATGCACATGTTTGATGAAGCGCAGAAACTGATCGACGACTATGAAAAGTCAAATTCATCCTCTTGGATCATGTACAGTAAGTAACTAATTTGTATAATACAATGAATGCATCAACAAAAGGATGATTAATCTGCTTGTGTATTGTTGCAGTGGCCATGTTGTCGGGTGCTCGCAATCATCGTCATTCTGTTCTTTCACAGAAATTGTTTGATCGAATGCAATCTTTGTTTCCTGATCAGAAGTTAGATCTTATCTCTGCTTCTATTCTTCTATCTAACACTTATTCATCCGTGGGAAATTATCAACAAGCACAAGAAATACAAGTCAATCGAATAAAACAATTCGGCAAGAAAGTCAAAGTTGGATTGTCATGGACTGAAGTGAATGGTGAACTTGTGGTAAACTGTTTCTGATAGGAAGTTCAAGTATGAGAAAATCTTGTTCTCTTATTGCAGGGATTCAAAGCTCATGATCGTTCTCATCCTCGATCGGCTGAAATCTATGCTGAACTCCATCATTTATCAAGTGAACTGAAAACACATGGTCATGAGTATGACTCAAGCTGGATTACTCGTCCACTTCAAGATGGCGAAAGTGTTGAATCGGCGTTGTGTGGTCACAGTGAGAAGCTTGCCATTGCATTCAATTTCATTCAACGGCCTAGACCATCTTTTATTCAAATCACAAAAAATCTTCGTGTTTGCGGTGATTGCCGTAAGTGTTGATTGATATCAGATATTGTGTGTAATCATTAATTTTGTTTTCTTAGATCATGCGACAAAGATGATTGCTAAGATTCGGCAATGTGAAATTATAGTACGTGATGTGAATCGTATTCATCATTTTCACACGAATGGACAATGCTCTTGCAAGGACCATTACTAGTTCTTTGTTACTTTTTTCTGCTCAATAAAACTTGATGATGAGACAAAATTGGAGTCTTTTCTACCACAGACATCCTCCGTTTTCTCCATTCACCACAACTAGTCCCCCCAGCTGTTCATTAGTATCCCACTCGTTAAAAGCAGAAATGGAAGACTCGATGATGTAAAACTCAGCAGAGATTCAATTTCACTAAAAATCGCTCCGTCGGACCACGAAGCGTTCACTATACAGAGGTGTCCACTGTGAGAGGTTTTATTGTATGTGAATATTTAGGTTCATCAAAACTAATGATTGAGAAATTTTTCCAGTCTTTATGTTCCGGTATCAATTTGATTTCGACGGTATGATATTAAATTGAATCACCAATGAAATAATGGAACTAAATTCTACTAAAACTAAACAAAATCTTTGGCGATAAATTTTCTCATTCAATGTTTCGGAAAAGATGAGTCTTGAACTTTGGATTTTTTTAATAAAAATTTATCAACTACTCCAACTTCCTACAACTGTGAAACTTCCAAAATATAAAACGATATCAATGTTCAAGGACAATAAAATCTTCTTCCAGTCTTGATGAAGACATTTCAATCTAGTCAAAAAAGATATGACATATAGACTTTTTTTTTTTTCTGTCAGCGAAGATCATGATGGAATATCAAATAGAAAACATTCAGTCAAGCATGTAGACTCATCTTGAAATGAAAACAATGAATGGTGCAGAAAAGGTCAGCTCAATTCACAATTCTGCAGACAGCCACAAACGCACACATATTCCATCGTTCTGTTGATCACATGGTTCGACAGTGCAGAAAAAGCTATTGTTCTTAGAGAGATAAAGAATTTTTCGCCACGTTCGTTATTTCTCTACCACACGAGAAATACACTGCCGTATCATGTGATCAACAGAACGATGGAATATGTGTGCGTCTGTGACTGTCCATAGAATTATGAATTAATCTGGCCTTTTTTGCACCAACCCTAATACACGTGATCCAGAAGAACTTGAATCGATATCAAGATTGAATACAGACAGTTCATGGCATTCAATAAAAGAGCGTGCAATATCGAGAAAGAATTCTAATCTGAGCAAGACTGAATCTACTACAGAAGATGTGACTCTTGTCGCATATGGGATGATGATTTTCAGAAGACGACACATTCAGCATCTTCTACTTCGCCAAACTTCATCAACATATGTATTGCTGAGTTGATTACGACAATATCGTCGAGAAACATCGTTGGTATTTGATGAAGAAGTTTCAGGCATTGAATAATATTGTGATAATTACTTCATCGGGTGCTATTGACATTTCATCAAATAGTTCGAGTACTTTTTCAGGCATATCATTTGAGATATAACCTAGTGATCAATTCATCTTCAGCAGATCATTCAACAACAAAAAAGATTTACCTTTGAATATTGCACTATACATAAAAATTGTCTTTCTATCAATGGCCGAAAAGATCTGATGAGCATGATCAATGTCATGACATTGCACTAGAAACGAAAAATCCTAACTAGATTGATAGATGAACCTCATTTCATCTCCTCGAATCTACAGAATCTGCTTGACGACGTTCGTCATTGTCATCACTATCAAAACCATGATCAATATCGAGATATCTCGAATGACTATTAATCGAAACGGTTAACTTGTATCGAAAGATGCATGAACATGATCGAATATGTCGCAAAATCCGGAACTAAAAATCTAGAAAACAGAAATCCGCAGAAAAAAATCCGAAATTTCCACGTGACAACTCGATTTTCATCGTGAAAAATGTTTTCCGGATTTTGCGACAATACCACATGATCGAGACATATGGTTTCGACACGAAGCAATATTTAGCAGGTTAGTGATACAAATTTGCATTTCTATAGTTTAACTAATGAAGATGAGATCTTTCATCAGAAATGAAAGAATCTATGCATTCAAACAGCATTCTGTCTAGAAATCATGAGATGAAACTGAAAAGAAACAACTTCTTCTCTCTATCAAATAGAAGTTTAGGTGAGAAGAGAATGTCATCACTTACTGTAAAAATGAATCAGTGATGTTTGAGTAAAAGAATCTCGAAGTGCTTGTGATGATAGCTGCCGATGAATGCGAATACCACGTTCACGATCACATAGTTTAGCACATGCTTTCAAAGCCAAGGTAAGTGTGCTATCTGTGAATACTTGAGATTGTCGATCAAAAAGATCGAGAACTTCTTTATATTGTCGAGATTCGATGAGTTTCTTCATAGTTGCATTTAACTTTATGGGCGATGATGATATGATAGAAAAATATCTATATTTTGTCTGATCGATGTTAAAAAGACGTCGAATCATTATTCGAGATCGAGAAAGATTATTCGCATCGAGAAGTATTAGTAAACATTATCTGAAACAAAACGATCAAGAAAAATGAAAATTGAAATTGATTAAACAAGAGGATTAAACAAGAGGATGCTCAATGACAGCGAAATCTGGAAGTATTTTAAGATAATTTCTCTACATTAGAGTGAATCTTAAGATAATATCGATTCACTTAAAATGAATAATTAGAAATAAGATTGCTTTTTTATTCGTAAAAAATTGTATCTATAGCTAGACGTTTCAATTTATTTGCTAAATTTTATATCAACGTGTCCAAAATTCATTCTCTCCGCTAAATACAGTAAAAACCTCTTTATGGTGGACATCCTTCGGACTTTTCAAAAGTGTCCACTATAGAGAGATAACTCTTGTCCAAAGCAAAATTTTTCGAAGAAACACACACGTTTTCTAAATATCTGAAGTGTTAGCGAATAAAATAACGGGCTAAAACAAATTGTTACTGCTCTTTTCACGTATTTTTATTCTTCGAAATAGAAAAACCAACAATTGTTAAAATAATCTTTGATACATCTTGTTTTCTTACTTACAAATCGAGATAAATGTCAGCTGATTGCAATTTGACATGGGATATGAGAGTGAGCAGTTGAGGTTGTTAAATGGACAAAACAAGATGGTAAGTCAGCATTCTAATTAATCTGAATTATGGGGATCCCCGATTTAGATTTTCCTTCAGAGCTGCAGAATCTGCCTGTTTGCTCCGACGGTCGTCGGGAGAAAATTTATTGATCCGGGGAAATTTTTTTGAAAAATTGGAATTTCTTTTTAGAAATATTTTCTAAAAAGAAATTCTGTTCGTGAATTATGTCGGGGAAATTACTGACAACTTTTTCCGTCGGGGGAAATTTCCCAATCCCACGGGTAGATTCTGCACCTCTGTTTTCCTCTAGCATTCCCAGTTTGTAGAGGATACTTCGAAGTACATGTCTTGAAGCTTTTTCGGCTTGCTGACATTATTTGGTTGAGAAAAAAATTAATTACTTAAGAAAATGTTGTTAGATTTTTGAGCGCGGGGCTATTATTAAAAAATTTCCTGTCCATTCTCTATTCATCATAAAATCTTGGTTCTTGCCTAGATCGATAGAGAAATGAGTGGAGAATATTTACTACGAGAAAATATGTAAAAAGTTTTCTTCTCTCCTTTCTGTTATTGACTAATTAAGGTTAATTTAGCTTACCCTACTTGCTTAAAGTCTCATTTGTAAAATAACCACTCAAGAAAAAACTTGAAGCAATACCTCATCTGATAGAGAATTTCGAGGGCTACAAGACTGGATTGCCTTAAAATTTTAGAATACATTTTTAGCTGCTCGATAAGTCGACTTTACTGAGAAAAGTAGAAATTCTATCACTAATTCGCAATTTTCTCCATCAGAACTCAACTTTTATACAACGAAAATATCACATTCGGAAACAGCGTCGGAAATCGAATCAAATGATTTACCTTTTTTTATCCTATTTGATCACTTTTATTTTTTCTGAATTTTCACGTCGAATAAATTACTAAGATTTTCACCAAAAAAAAGAAAATCAAGGAATAATTTTGAAATATGTATCATTCGACTCGATTTTTGACGCTGATTCCGAATATGATATTTTCATTGTATAAAAGTTGAGTTCTGATGGGGAAAATTGCGAATTAGCGGTAGAATTCCCACTTTTCTCAGTAAAGTCGACTTACCGAGTAGCTAAAAAATGTATTCTAAAATTTTAAGGCAATTCAATCTTGTACTTCTTCACTGATTTCTCTATCGATCTAGGTAAGAACCAAGATCTTATGAGGAATAGAGAATGGACAGAAAATGTTTTAATAATAGCCCCACGCTCAAAATTTTAACAACATTTTCTTAAGTAATTAATTTTTTTCTCAGCCAAATAATGTCAACAAGCCGAAAAAGCTTCATTTCATGTACTTCGAAGTATCCTTTACAAACTGGGAATGTTAGAGAAAAATCTAAATGGGGGTATCAAGTTTACATTAACATAAAGCAAACTACATATTTTAGCTCATTTTATTCTAAAACAGATTCTTCATGCACTGCTGAAAGCAGTATTTCGCTCTTAACTTTCGAATATCTTGGAAAATAATCACGATATTCAATTGAGAATTTTTCATAGCATAAACACAGCATGACCAACATATCCTGTAAATTTCATGCAATTTCGTCGCGAGGAAGCTAACACCAAATTTTGAAGGAATTGAGATCTTAAAAACGAAAGCGTGAATGTCCACACTATACTTGTTTCATAATTACTACAACACTTGCGATTTTGGTTCTGCAAAACAATTTAAAACCCTTACTGAAACCAAGGCTTGTTAGAAAAAGTTAATGTGGTCTGCTTGTGGCTGTCTGTCTTTGTTTTTTGTTTGATTATTTATCGCCCAACAGAAAAATAGAAATAATGATGTCGCTGATTGACAGCTTGACTTGAGCCGGACCAATGTCTTTCTTATTATTTTGTTTTGATTACCTAAAATCAGCTTTTTTTATAGAAATGATGGTCTCTCATTAATTGAAAAGCACTAATTAAGGATAATTAGTGTAGAAAAAGAGTTTTTCAAGCATTTCAGCCACAAGATCGTGTTCTGGAAATTCGAGTTAAGAGAATAAAAGTTGCAGAATTCAATTTCAAACGATTTATTCTTTTGACTCAACTTTAAAAAACGTTGTTTTCCTAAACAAAAACTAGGAAAAACTCTTTTGCCGCTAATTTTCCAGTATTCCCTTGGAAGAGAGTGCTGTAGAGAATTTTGACCTGAGACTTTTTTGTAGAAAATTCAATTTGCTACCAAACAGTTTCTAAAAAAGCCCTTCCCTCACGGCAAAAAATCGAAAACACAAAAAAGTCTCAGGTCACAAATCCACAGCACTCTCTTCCAAGGAAATACTGGAAAATTAGCGACGAAAAGTGATTTTCCAAGTTTTTGTTTAGCAAAACAACGTTTTTTAAAGTTGAGTCAAGCAAATAAATCGTTTGAAATTGAACTCTGCAACTTTTATTCTCTTAACTCAAATTTCTAGAGCAAGATCTCGGAGATATGTCAGATTATCATTATCCAGCATAATCATGACTTTGCCGTCAAGCTATCAAATTCTAAAACGTCTACATACGACAGAATTTCAAACGCTAAAACGTTTCAGATTTCCACCTTAACACAGAATTTCACACCGTGATCATACTATGAATTACTGAACATAGAGAGAGATCGGTCTGATTTGTGAAAATCTGCAATTTACATAATATCTAGATGTTCAGATATTCAGATATCTTCCTCTTTTCTTTCACGGGGCAAATATCAGGAAGCGCCTCACTCTCATCTTCCCTTGTCACCCTCACCTTCCCTTTTCCCCATTTCTATAACATCTGAATATCTAAATATCTAACTTGAATATCAGAATATCTGAACATCTAGATATACATCTAGATATATTATGTAAATTNACTGAACTAAACGGAAGTGCCGCTCTTCATGTTGCTTCATATTATGGCCATGCAAAAATTGTTCAGTTATTGTTAGAAAACGGTGCATCTAGGTCGATACTGAATAAAAGAATCCACGAATTTCAGAATCTCAGAATTTGTCGCCGTGTCTCTACTATTAGTAGCAGAATACAAAGAGTCTTACAATTTCAGAATTTGACTTGGGGATCGAACTATGACCTGCTGAAGATAAAGAATCTCACAATTTTGGAATATCACAGGATGAGTTTACCAGGAATTTCTCAATATAAAGAATCTCAGAATCACAGGATCTCAGAATTCCGGGAGGCCTATGGTCCGAATTATTCAGTATAATGAATCTAAGAATTTCAGAATGTCCGAATTTCTCGCGGTTTCTGTACTATTAATTGCAGAAAACAAAGCGTCTCAGAATTACACACGATGACCATACTGTGAATAGCTGAATATAATGAATCCAAGAATTTCATAATTTCATAATTTCACTGCATATTCGTGCCTGTTCACCAAGGGGAAAAAATGTCACTTCAAGTGTGTGCACGTATGACTGAAGTGACACTCTAAGAGTGTGAGTCAATTTTAGAGCGAACGTAGTATTAGTTTATATTTTGTGCTTTTTTGACTGTTTTTCACTTCTCTGAAGAAAATCGTATTCCAAACTTTGAACCTTGTTGTAAGAAGAACTAGACTTTGGTTAAAAACCAACAGTCAGATATACCGACTATCTGCACCAAAATTCGAGGCACTCGGTTATTTTTCGAATAAGCCTATTACGATAAAAGACAGGGACTTGCGATATCCAACAATCAAAAGAAGACAGTTTCTTCTTCGAACGCAGTTAAATTATGAGTTTTATTTCGTATCGACCTAGATGCACCGTTTTCTAACAATAACTGAACAATTTTTGCATGGCCATAATATGAAGCAACATGAAGAGCGGCACTTCCGTTTAGTTCAGTTCGAGATATCGTCCATGGTAGCAGTTCGAAGAGCTTCTTCAACTTCGCTAACGTTATTTAGTTTACACGCCATGTACAATTTACTTTTTTCTGAACTTTTATTAATATCGTAATTGTAAACAAGGATTATATGAACGTGTCACTGCATATTATACCGATATTATACGTCTATGTAAAACTGTCGATGATAAAATGACTGATACACCTAAACTTGATCATCTACAACAAGGTTTAAAACCATCTTTAACCAAAGAAGTTTTGCGTCAAAAGCCAACAACACGCACTGAATTTTTAGAATATGCTCGAGCAGATGAAGTTCTCAATCAATTGGTTAATGCAAACGATGTCGTTTTCAGGAATGTCCTAATCAACCACCATATAATTATTCATCATCAAATACGTCTTGTCAACCTCGATCTACACCATATTCTTATCCAACTCCTCGGTCACCATCGATTAATCGTCCTCGTTCGCCCTATAATACGCGTTATCAAGCATCCTGTCCTGCTACTTTTCGTTGCTATAATTGTAATA